AACTATATGCTGCCTTCAGGAGACCCATCTCTGCTCCAAAGACAAATATAGCCTCAAAGTGAAGGAGAAGATGATAGTCCAAGCAAATGATATCCAGACAAAAGAAGGTGTAGACTGAATCATGAAGAACTGGAAAACCTACACAGACCAATCACTAAGAAGAAAGTGAAACAGTATCTGCCACCCCCCAAAGTCCAGGACCAGATGGTTTCACAAGTGAATTCTAACAAACATTCAAAAAAGATTTAATGCCTATCTCTCTCAAACATTTCCAAAAAATTGAAGAGGAGGGAATGGTTCCTAACTCACATTATGTGCCATTACCTTGATACCAAAACCAGGCAAGGACATCACAAAAAAAATTTTAAAAAAATTATAGGCCAGTATCTCATATGATCAAATCCTCAACAAAATACTAGCAAATTAAATAAAATACATTAAAAGGATCATACACTGCTATCAAGTGGGATTCATTCCAGGGAAGCATGGATGGTTTAACATCCACAAATCAACTTGATACACCACACAACAGAACACAACAGAAGGTAAAAATTATGATATAAACACGCACAGAAAAAGCAATTGATAAGATATAACAGCCGTTTATGATAAAAATGCAATGAAATGGATATAGAAGGAAAAGTACTTCAACATAAAGGCCATATGTGACAAACCCTCAGTTAACATTATACTCAGTGATGAAACACAAAGCTCTTCCTCTGGATTAGGAACAAGACAAGGATGCCCACTCTCACCAGGTATTCAGCATAGTACTGGTAGTCCCAGCCAGAACAATTAGGCAGGATAAAGAAATAAAGGCATCCATTGGAAAGGAAGAAGTAAAAGTATCACTATTTGCACATGACATGGTTTTATATATTGAAGTCTTTAAAGACTTCACCAATAAACTATTAACAAATACAGCAAAGTAGCAGGATGCAAACTCAATGTACAAAAATCTGTGGTGTTTTTATATACTAACAAAATATCAGAAAGAGAAAAGAAGAAAACAATCCCATTTACAATCACAACAAAAAGAATACCTAGGAATAACAAAAGAAGGGGCCCATACACTGAAAACTACAAGACATTGTTAAAAGAAACTAGAGAAGACACAAAGAAATGGAGAGGTATTCTATGTTCATGGATTAGAAGTTAACATTATTTTAACATTACTAAAATGTCCATATTACCTAAAGGATTCTACAGATTCAATGCAATCCCTATCCAAAGCCCAATGGCATTTTTCACAGAAATAGAACCAAAAAATTCTGAAATTTGTATGGAACCACAAAAGACCCTAAATAGCCAAAGCAGTCCCAAGAAAGAAAGGACAAAGCCAAAGGTAACATACTCCCGATATCTAACTACACTACAAAGCTATACTAATCAAAACAGTATGGTATTGGCAGAAAAAGAGACAGACAGACCCATGAAACAGAACAGAGCGCCCAGGAATAAACCTGCACATATATGGCCAACTAATTTACAACAAAGGAAGAATATACAATGGAAAAAGTCTCTTCAATATGTGGCTGAAAACATTTTTCATCTGGGGAAGGAAAGAGACATCCACCAGGAAGCAAAGAGAGTTCCAAATAACCAAAGGGGTCCACACCAAGACTTAATATAATTAAAATGGCAAAAGTTAAGGATAAAGAGACAATCTTGAAGACCGCAAGAAGGAAACAAGTCACAAAGAAGGAAAACCCCTTAAGGCTATCAGCTGATTTCTCAACAACTTTATAAGCTAAAAGGGAGTGGCAGGAAATTTTTAAAGTGCTAAAAGGGACCTACAACATAGAACATTGTACAGGCAAGGTTATCATTCAAAATTGAAGGAGAGGTAAGAGTTTCCCAGAAAAGCAAAAACCAAAGAAGTTCACCACCACTAAATGGTCCACAATAAATGTTAAAGGATCTTCTTTATGCAGAAAAGGTCATAACCAGAAATAAGAAAATACAGTAAGAAAAAAAAATCTCACTGGTAAAGGCAAATACATAATAAACAGTGAATCAAGCATTTAAAAAGCAAATATGAAGCTTAAAAGACAAAAGTAGGAAAATGAACTATAACAGTCAAGGGGCACACAAAACTAAAACATATAGCCTGGCTGGGCGTGGCTCAGTAGTTGAGCATCAACCTAGGATCCAGGAGATTGTGGTTCAATTCCTGGTCAGGGCACATGCCCAGGTTGCAGGCTCCATCCCTAGTCAGGGGTGTGCAGGAGGCAGCCGATCAATAACGACTCTATCATTGATGTTTCTGTCTCTCTCCCCCTCTCCCTTCCTCTCTCTGAAATCAATAAAGATATATTTTAAAAAAACAAACACAAAAACTAAAACATACAAAACATGTCAAAAAGTGTGGAAGGGGGATTAAAAATATATTGCTTTTAGAGTACGTTTGAAATTGAACGCCTACCAGCTTAAAATAGGCCACTATAGATAGATGGATATATATATATGAACCTCATAAAACCACAAACCAAAAATCTGTAAAAAATAAAGCAAAAGAAACCCAATCAAAACACTAAAGAAAACCATCAAATCAAGAGATGAAGGAACGAAGAACAAAACCAGCCAAAAAACAATTAGCAAAATGGCAATAAGCACATACCTATCAATAATGACTTTAAACATCAATGGACTAAATGCTCCAATCAAAAGACATAGGGTGGCAGAATGAATTAAAAAAAAAAACACACCAAGAAAAACCAGACTCATCTATATGCTCCCTGCAAGAGACTCATTTTAGATAGACACACAGATTGAAAGTGAAGGGATGGGAAAAGTTATTTCATGCAAATAGAAATGAAAAGAAAGCTGGGGTAGCAATACCTGTCCCAGACAAAATAGACTTGTGAACAAGACATTCCATAATGATAGAGGTCAATCCAAGAAGATATAACTGTAAATACCTATACCACCATATATATGTCCAAACAAAAACACTAATTTGAAAAGATTTCTACACCCCTATGTTCACTGCAGCACTATTTACAACAGCCAAGATATGGAAGCCACCTAGGTGTTCATCAGTAGATGAATGGATAGATATGGTACATGCAATGGAATATTACCCAACAATAGGAAAACATGAAATCTTGCCATTTGCAACACGGATGGACCTAGAGGGGTATTATGCTAAGTGAAGTAAGTCACGGAGAAACACATCTACTGTATGATTTCACTTGTATGTGAAATCTAAACAAAACAAAAAGTCTGATGCCATTCTCTGATCTCTTTCAGTTCTGAAAAAAACCCACCCCTAATTCAGGGTCCAGATTGCCTCTTTTTTCTCATTAAAAAGTTTATATATATGCCTCATATTAATGCAAAATCCATTTTCTTTCAGAGGGAAAGGAGCAAGACCATTTATTTTAGAACTACTTGAACTCACTCTACACAAACAAGTTCTAGTTGGTGTGCAGAAAGAAACACTTAGCCAACTCTACAATCAACCATTCATGTTAAAGATGAGAATAGTAAAAAGTGAATTTAATTACCAGACAAAATTTGCATTAGGTAGGCCTCCCAAACTTCAGGAAATCGGGAGACTCCCCACCAGAGTGGATGGCAAGAGAAAGGGGCGAGTCCTTAATAATATGTATAATCAGCCCTATAATGTTTAAAATAAATGGCCTTAGGGGAAACATATATTTTTTTCATGTTGGCTTAATTTCTAACAGAAATATTAAGTTGGAGGAAAATCTTACTTAGCTAGAATTACATGGCAGAATCTAGTGAGCTGCCTGAGATCGGTGCTTGCTTTTCCTTCCCACTTGTCCTCTGCACTCAGCCTTCCCTTCCTCCCATCACAGCACTTACCTGCTAATGCCTTCTTGGAGAGAACATGCCACATCTCTGAGGCCAGAGGCCAAGCATAAGAGCTGGCATGAGTATAAGCCCAAATATTTGCTGGATAGTATTTGGGCCTATACTTGTATAAGGTAAATGGAAACATAACAAAAAGTTGTCACCAATGACATTTAAATGTCAAGAAGCCTTTCAGCATCTATTTGGACAAGAGAATTAGGGTTACTCTTCCTCAGAGCAAGCAAAATGACACTTTAATATACATCCTAAGTAAGTCATAGGAGCTAAGATAAAAAATATCCTTGGTTCAGAATAGGAAAATCCCAATGTACATACAGATGTCACCAGCATAATACTATGGGTACATAATAAATGAGGTTACAGAAATTGGTATTAGAAGAGGCTAATCCAAATAATTAAGTACATAAAATTAGTCCACAACTTGGAGGAATGACCCTTTAAGATTTTGCAAAGGATAAACTTGATTATTAAAGAGCAGTGTTGATTTCATTATAAAAATTTTAATAATCTATAGAATCACATGATACAGAAACGTCATTTGTAGGAAGACAGAACAGATTAAAATTTGGAAATTTCTTTTTTCCTTCCCATAATGTTGTTATATGATTTTCCACATGGCATTTTTCATGAGTGTGGATTATAGTTGGGATAACCTTCAATTCTGATTTGGCATTTAATGTGATACAGAGCACGTTACACACCCAGGGTCATCAGCACACATCTTGCCTATGAAAGTTCACAAATACTCAATTGTTCTAGGTGCCCATTCTTAATTTTCCATTAAGAGCAAAGCAAATATTCTGACAAAAGTTTTTGCAAAATATTATGTGATACTATATTTTGCAGTGATATCTGCACTGCAAAAGAAGGGAACAAATATTTTTAATTATATAGTTCAGAGGAAGAGAAAACAGGTGGCTAGAGGTCCATAGACCAAAGGATTTCTCTGAAGAAAAAAAAAGACAAAAATACATCATCCAAGATGAGCAAGAAGCGGTCAGGAGTCACTGAAACACTACTTCGTGGAGTATGTCTAAGAGCAGGAGTAACAGACATTGTGTATGTTTTGTACTGTAAACAATGTGCATCATACAAACAAAACCTGTAATTCTAGTGAATCAATGTAATGAAAATCATTCACACAACATTAAGTAGGCAAATATGTTTAAAAAAATATTTTAATAAGCATATTCAGAATGGCAGGCGGAATGGGAGAAGGGAATTATTTTACAGTGCAAAATTACTATGCATAAATTTAAAAACATCTAACTCATAATTTTAAATGCCCATTTAAATATTATTTCAAATACATTTTAAAGCTCAACAGATTTATGTTGAACTGAGTTGCAGATTCTGAACTCTATTTGAAAACACATCATAAACAGAACACCATTCCAAATGAAAATAATAGTGCTTTGCTGGAGGTGGGAGAGACTAAGTAGCTTTAACAAAGACTTCTTTTCCCAATGCAATTTGTCAGGAGTTCAAGAGTTATGAAATGTACTAAATATTAAGCAAATTAGATTCATGATAGTACTAAAAATTTTATAGTGCAATGACTTATCAAGTTATAATGGTTGCATTATGAAGAGCAAAGTACTGTGTGAAATACCTGTATAAACACAAAATATAATTAAATATTTCTTTATGAAAAGCTGAGCATTATGTATTATAATAGTGGAATGTCTTTCATTAGGCATACTTTAAAAAGATAAGATTAAGATTTCCTAACATGTATACATGTGCCATATTCAAGAACTTCACAAACCTGCAAACAAAATGCATCTTTCATAAAAGGTGAAAATGGTATCTCAAATATTGCAACAACTTAAAAAGTATATTACTATTTGTTTGAAACATTTCTATTGTCTTTAACAAAGAGCTAGGATACTCTGGATGTTTTAATAAAATCTGATTTAGAAAATGGATTGCAACCATGTTAAAGCTGCCATTCTGGATAAATTAATGTTCTAGGTACAACAAAACAAAACAAAAACCAAAAAAAAGAAATTCATGCTTCTCAACACTTCCACCCAAAACTTGGATTTACTTGGATATGTATGTAACAGTGAATGTACATTATATGAAGTCAGTCAAGTGTTGTAAAGTGGCTTTTAACACTGTTTGGGGGGAGGGGAGGAAGAGACTTGTTCACACTGGTGGAGCGAAGCAGTCTGAACATATGTTAACAGTAATACTTCATGGGAGTAAGGCCTAAACCATATCTCAGTGCAAACCTCTACTCAATTGCATTAGACAGTTGAGCCATTAAAAAGATGATCACAGATTTATTTTTAAAAGGCATCAGCTCTTCTTGAACTGATGGCTGAAAGGGATGAATTGGTAGAAGCATTTGGGGTACGCCTATGTGAAAAACAATAGTTAACAATCTTTTATAAAAGTTTGGATATAGGTTGGTCTATCAGCTGTATAAAACTACATTTTTTAACAAGAATTTTGCACTAAAAATAAAATGGCACTCTTGCAAGGTTATGCAAATGGATGATCCTATTTGTAATCACAGAGCAATAGTCACTGTATATCTTAATTTCATTTTGGAAATACACTTATCAAATCTGGAAAACTAAGATGTAACTGGAAAAGTCCAAAAACTTTTCTAACTTCATCACTTTTCCTCTTAAAAATCAATATTGTTGCCTGCCAACTCCTTGTGTGTGCCAATTACCTAAATATCACTTGACCTTTTCCCCAGTTTATTTAATGCAAAAGTGGGAAATTTCATAATGCATATAAAAATAAATGAACAGGATTCTGGTCAGCATGATACAATTAAGCATTTAAGCTAACAAACTTTTGTCTTGCTTCAAAAATAATTTTGAAAATTATAGCAAATACAAACAAACTATGCAATCTAAGTATCATGCTTAATTTCAGAATTCTCACACTATTTGCCCATAAGTAAAAATTTGGGGAAAAAATTTCACAATCCTTCATGAATGCTTTTACCACCTGGATAAGAAACATGACTCAGTTACTACACAAACACTTAAAAATTCATTAGAAAAACCATAGCAAAATAAAATGAAAGCTGACAGACTCAGAATATCAATTCCTCTCATAAAAGTTTACCAACTGTACAAGTTTAAGAAAATTATACAAGCTTTTGTATTAAGAAAGGACAGCTCAGTCAAGACATATGTACTGTAAAAATCTTTCAAAGGCTACAAAGAATCTGGAAAAATACAGAATGTATTTCTTAAGCCCAGATAAGAATATGGAAAGACATCATTGATGTCAACAATTTTACATATACAAACCTGACTTGGTTTATTTTTAAACTTCTATATATAAAAAATCATGCTAGCATAACTTTCAGGATTCAGAGGGGTTTCCTTAATAATGATAACTCAACTTGTATATAGAGAAAAATGTCTGAAAGATTTCAATAAACTAAAAAAAATTGCTGTTAAGCAGAAAATTCGTTTTTTCTTCTCTGCCATCAAAATTAAGCAAAAAGTACCTTGTAGTAAAACTTTAGGATTAATATATCCAATGAAAAGGTACATGTACATCTTCAGTTCATTCAAATTTACTAAACTATCTGTTTTATCCTTAAATGGGTCTTTATAGTTTTAAAATAAAAATTCTGCAAAAGGCAGAATTACGAAATCTTATTTACTGAAGTTAGGACGCAATTCAGTTTTCAAATTCTAACGAATTGCTTCTAGGAAATCAAGTTTTTAAGGTAACCCATCAACCCTGAAAATTTTAGTCATACCAGGATTTACTCCAAAGAAAGTATTTTAAATCTAAAATTCAGTCATCTGTGTTTTCAAGTTCTTCAAATTTTCCATGTGAGATTGTTTCTTGGAAAAATTCAGAAGAACCTGGACTTTCTTTTCCATTGCTGTTTACCCTTCGCCTTTTGGCAGGTCTCTCACTTTTTTCATCAATATGGGCAAGTTTTGGGTCAGTGGTAAGGTTATCTGTTTCATAACCATTACTATCCATATCTGCATGAAGTGGTTTCTTATTTCCACCTGTTGGTCCATTAACGTGTAACCCTTCAACTTTTACTTCTTCTTTGTTTAACATTTCACCTGGTCCATTAGATGACACCCCTAAGTTGGAAGAAACATAAACTGCTAATATTAAACTGTTAGGAGATAGCTACTGTTATAAGACAGCTTTTCATCAAGGAAGCGAGGTATCAAATCTGTGTATGGTCTGAATTCAGGCTCTATTTGCCGAGTAGCTATGTGACCTTACGCAAGTTGTTTATATTCTCTGTACCTGTTTCATCACATATACAATCAGGATAATTTACCTTACAGGGCTGTTGTGAAGATTAAGTTAATAAATGTAAAGAATTAAGAACAGAATTCGGCATATATTAAGAGCAGGTGGATGTTATGTGACAAAATAAGCACTGGATCCAGCAGTCAAAATAAGCTGCATTTAAGCAAAGATACACAAATTATTTAGATTTAGCAAATGGCTGTAACTTTCTAAAACCATGTAAAAAAATTATATTCTTTCTTTAGAAGCTTGAGCTTTATACTGCCATATAAAATCAGGATGATGTGACATTTTTATTCTTAATGTAAGTATATGGCTATTACTGTAATTTAAGGGTAAATCATACACATTAATATAAAAAATCTGTCATGTTAAAAATTAATGCTTGCACTATCTAAGCATACACCTGAAAATGCTAAAAGTAAACACAAATTCCTCCATAATAGGTGAGAAAAGAAAGAACATAATTATTCTAATAAAAGTAACAGTAAAAAGGTCATGTTCAAGTTAACAGCAAAATGAAGTAGAAATTTTGGGGATATTTAATGTAAAAATATAGAATGTGCCACTAAAGATAAAGTTTAATTAAAATATTCAGTATAAAGGATGAGCCTCAATTACATTTTGGTCAAGGCAAATATTCTATTTTCCCCAACTCAAAAGTACACTCAAATCATGAATGCACATGGGAATCATGCATCATGACACTGAAGGAACTATTTGGTCGTAGTAAGCCCAAAGAGTTGGTGACACTGAGATTAGGTCAAAAATAACCGTAAGATTTCAAGGCGCTGATAAAGTCCCTTACAAAGAAAATTGGGTTGGAAAGTTCCTTCCTTTCCTTCAGAAACCTGAGAAACTTGATTTTTAAACACCTGATCTGAATGGCTTCTGGGCTACTGAGTAATTTATAGGTAACTTATGAAACTCTCCTAGGCTAACTGCATGTTCTCATCAAATGGTTAAAAAAGAACAAGAAAATTATTTATTTGGTATTATAAGCAAACAGGAAAACACAAAAGTAGTACCAACTGAGTTTCTACCCCTAGTCCCAAAGTCTGAGTTTCAGCTTTTTACTGTACTTCAGGGTGGATGTGCTAGCATTAGATGCCATGTCAGTGAAACTTTCTGGATGAGGAAATGGCCCTAATTTTTATTTATTTGGCTTGCTCTTATCAGGGAAGTAGTGGGGAAATAGAGAGGGGTCATCAAATGAACAAAGTACAGTATATTCACCACAGCAGTGCCAGTGTGAGACCAAAGGTCTGACAGAGAACCAGGGTCACATTTTTCTCAGTGTTTCTCTTCTAGTTTCTGTCATAAGGAAGTTAGCTAGCTCTATACTGGCCCTCCTGTAAGGCGAATGTATCAGAATGTAGGTGGGCAGAACTTATCTAATTTACCAGTTTCTTTCTAAAGAGGAGTAAAGGACTTATTTCTTTCTGCCTGGCAACTGTCTTACTTAGGAAGATCATTTTTATTAAATTAGAAGTCAAAATAATTCTCTATGTCTTACAATGATCTTTGGTCCACTGTATATTTTAAACAAGAACATTATCTGAACCTCAATCATAGTGGTGGGTATGCTTTTCACATTTTTCATGGAGATAAAAATAGAAATGTTTCTATTTTTATAGAAACCTCCTGTACCTTTTCCTATCCTTCAAGGTTATTATGCTATCAAAGAGAAAAATATTCAAAACGGTGCTTTTTTTATCTATTTCTTTTTGTCTGTATGTGTTATAAGCTCTCAAAGTATTTTAAAAATATCTGTGTATTTCTGATGTGAAATGGATGGAGTTTGAGTGTAAGAGTTAACAAGAACACTTATATTCAGGTATCCCAACCAGATAAGAAAATAGATGCTACTCAAAAAGAATAAATTTCTTAAAAGAAGTGGTCACTGTCGACAGTTTATTAAACTTACTTTTTAGTGATATCAATGGGAAGTCTTTCCAATTAATTTGTATTCTGTGTGTATTAGTATGTATGTATGTATGCTGATATCACGTATGTTTCATCTGGTATTTACAATTATTACTCTAACTTCTGCTTTGAAGTTTAATAGAAACCAAAACTGAGTACTCCAGGCTACAGAAAGAAACAGAAGTGTTTCTTTGGTTGCTTACCATTTTGATTACTATTACTTATAGAGCCATCTTCTTTCTCAGACTGGCTATTACTACTGTTCGAGGCAGTTGGGGGAGGAGATGGTGCTCGACTAGAGGCAGCACTTTCACTTTCATCTAGAAGCCGATCCATGTAATCCCTTAAAATTAAGTAAAATGATAAAGTAATTATTTTCTATTAAAAAAGCTGAAAATTAAAATTAAGCAAGGTTAAATTTAGAAGGCTTTATTAACAAACATATTCTAATTTTCACTTACATTCATTCCAGTGCCTCATCAATCACACCAGGATCTGAACATTTAAATGGAAAGCTGCTTTTGGTTACACATTTATAGGAAAAATGCATAAGAGCCTTTAAACTAGCTAATTTTAGAGATCTACAGGTAGAGTGGCCCAATTAAAACCAAAGGATCTGCAAGTGAAGAGATAGGGATGATGTCAACCAGAAGGAGTACAGAAGAATTTCTGAACAGGTTGGAATTTTAAAGCCCCTAAAGTCTATTTGATGACTATGGCGACACCTGAAGGACAAATTAGGTCCTAACAATGAATCACCTCCCTAAATCTTCCTGGACACCTTCTATATTATCTTTCTGCTAGCTCTGAACTATAAGTTCACTAAATTTCTGGGCTTATCTGCTGGCATTATTTGCCAGTATATCATTAAACTCAAGTTTCCTTCTTCCCCAAGTCACTCCTGAACTTTATGGGATGGGAGGACAGATGTGTGACACTGGTTTGGGGTTAGCAGGCCTGGGCTAAATACTTGTCTCTCTGATGTATAGTGTCCTTATCTATCAAATGCACGTAATCATGCATGACCTATCTGCCATATAGAGTTGTTGTATAAGACATGTACAGGAAAGTGTTTTGTAAACTATAAAGTGCTATTAAGTCACAAGAATAAAGGTCAGCAAACTATGGCCTGTGAGCTGGCCACCTGTTTTTGTGAATATTATTTTATTGGAACACAACACCCATTCGTTTACACAGTGTCTATGACTGCTTTTGCACTACAGAGCTAAGTAGTTGCTAGAAAACTTAAGGCCTGCAAAGCCTAAAATATTCACTCTCTAGCTCTTTTACAGAAAAAGACTGCCAACACCGGCACTGGAATAACTCCCTGAAGGCAGGGAATTTGGTCTGTTTTGTTTACCACTGCACTTCTGATGCCTAAGTTGTGCCTGGCACAGAGTAGATTCTCAATAAAAACTTAAATACATATTTTAAAATTCCCTCAGAATAAGTATAATAGAAACATTAAGTCAAATGTTTTAGAATTTTGTAAGCAGGACAAAGAATGTGGGTAAGAAAACAGTGTAAGGACTCAGAGCTTTACTCAAAGTCTGTGTTAAAAGTCCATAAAAAGACAGTCAAGTATAGCGATAACCTCAAACTTCATGATCACACTGTTCCTTAGGTTATGGGATATAATAAATAAAGGGATGTGGTACCTGACCTCAAAAAGCTTCCAATAATCTGATGCACAAAACTAACACATATCAAAGAAACATATATGACAAGCGGATCAATTTAACACTCTAATTGTATTTTCCTCATCTATAAATGAAAGAAATTAAATTTGATGGTCTTTAAGACCTCTTCAGCTTTATGCCATTCATCTTAACTATAGAACTACTGTGTAACAAATTTGAAGCACACAGAAACAAACAAGTATGATGAATACCACAGGGAACTCAGAAACTAAGGCTAATAGGAACAGATGATGCATGATGAGGAACTGTTGGAAATAAATTTGGTATGGTGGGAATGGATAATGGAGGATGCTAAAAGCCAAGCAAAGGAAATAAGAGTTGACTAGATATCAAAGTTATTTTAAATTTCTGAATACATTAATGATATTGTGAAAGAATTATTATTGTTTCTTAATGATTAATGGCATCCAGATGGTTAAGGAAGAAGGAGAGTCAGGAAGACCACCCAGGAGGGTGGAGGAGCATTGAAATAACCAGAGTTATGCTAAGTTAATTTTTACTTTTTAAAAAAAGAAATTAATGGCCAGATAGGCTCAGTTGGTTAGAGCATCATCCTGATGTGCTAAGGTCGTGAGTTCGATCCCCGGTCAAGGCCACATACAAAAATTAACCAAAAAATGCGTGAATAAATGGAACAACAAATCTATGTTTCTCTCTCCCTTTCTCTCTCAAGTCATTAAATTAAAAAGACACACACACAAAACCCAAAAAGCAAACAGAAAAGCTTAGTAAAAACATGACTCATAAGAAAATGTAAACTCACGTTACACCAGGATGAAGATTGTATTTCTTTTTTCCAAATCGTGTTTGCTGAGCAAAGAAATCGTAACGTTCAGATTTTTTCCACATATAATAGAATGCTACACATTCACCAACTGACCTTGTTCGAACCTATAAGAAATAAACACTTGTTTTTAAGAATCACCCCTTCCTAAAAGGACTTATTTCATAAAAAATATCCAAAGTTAGAAAACAAATTTAGCTGGTCCTTAGGTAACATATACTACTATGTATAAAATACAACACTGCAGCAGCTGTGTTAAAAACTATTCTTTCTAAACACCCATTAAGAGAAATAATACATTGGCAACAGGTCTTCAGATATTCAATATTATGCTTTTAAACAGCTATCATCTTAATTTACTATAAAAATAAGTACTTCCCAATTGTAAATCTCTGTAAGTGGCATTTGAGTTACAATTAATGTTATAAACAGCTTGCAAACACTTTCCCAACAGTGATCCAGACTCAATTATTTTACTTTCTAGAAAGGCTGACAATAGTCTTCAGTGAGTCAAAACGATTATAATAATGCCAATGCTTTGTTTACTAAGGTACTCCAGTGATTTAGTGTAACTGAATGGGTTCACCTTACATAATGTTCACCTATGGGATTAGCAAATGATGTTGACAAAATTCTGTTTTGCCACTTGGCGTGGAGAGCTGGAAGGGTTGATGTATATAATAAAACACCAGGAGTTTAAAACGAAAAAAAGGTATCTGCACGAGTTGTTTGGGATGTAAGACAATATTAATTTTATAACTTCTATCTTGAAGTAGGTATCTTGTGGGATTGATTGCACCTAAGGTCAATTTTATGACATACACTTTTCTTTTTCGCCCTCTGCCTGTACGTCACAATTTTGACACAGGATTAAGGAGTATAGATACATTTTTTAAAATAATGCTAAGACTTGAAATTTTTCTATTAGTTATGTCTGATGTCATATACCAAAATGCAACAACATAACCAAGAGCAAAATTAAGAAAAATGAACTCACGGGATTTGTAAGAAACTATTTTACTTATGAAATATAAAGTACTGTTAAGTATGTGTTGAAATAAATCAAGTGGACACCATCCGATCACATCCAGAGGTATATAAGGAAAATGTGGTGACAAAATAGTTAGAGCTCAGACATAAGCCCAGATACTGTTAAGATCACCCTAGACAAGCCATCACATAAGACTTGGTTACTATCTTCAAGGAAATATGTAAAGCCAAGCTCTTCGTCAACTTATATTTGCTAAAAATGTACTATTTATAAGCCTGGAAATTACTTAATTTCCTACGTTTAAACTCAGATTTCAATTTTGCCAGTCCCAATTTCCCATAGGAACAGCACATTTTCCTAGTCCATGTAATTGTGTAGTTACTATTAAAAATCTTACCTGGTTACAGCTGCAAGAGAATTAAACCTAAAAATAAATCTGCAGCCCAGCCGGGCGTGGCTCAGCGGTTGAGCGTCGACCTAGGATTCAGGCGATCAGGGTTCGATTCCCCGTCAGGGCACATGCCCAGGTTGCGGGCTTGATCCCCAGTTGGGGGCGTGCAGGAGGCAGCCGATCAATGACTCTCATCATTGATGTTTCTATCTCTCTCTCTCCCTCTCCTTTCCTCTCTCTGAAATCAATAAAGATATATTTAAAAATAAAAAAATAAAAATAAAACTGCAAGTAATTATGAAGTTCTTTTGGGTATACACTGACATTGTATGATTGATATTACCAACATGAAATTATGATCATACTAAATAAAATAGTCAAATAATAAAATTACAATAATGTATAATAAAGCTGAGTTGTTGAGATGTTCTTCTGGAAAATTAAATCCTAATTAAAACCAAATTAAATACTAAGCATCTGACTGACTTTAGACCACTCAGGACTTAAGCAAATGTAAAAAATATTTTAAGTATAAATAATGTCATGTCAAAAATGTTATAAAGTGCCCTTGCTGGTTTGACTCAATGGTTAGAGCGTAGGCCCACAGACTGAAGGGTCGCAAGGTTCAACTCCCAGTCAAGGGAAAGTATCCTGGTTGCAGGCTCGATCCCTGGCCCTGGTCAGGGCAGGTGCCGGAGGCAACCAATCAATCACTTTGATGTTGCTCTCTCTCTCTCTTGCCCTTCTCCCTCCCTTCCACTTTCTAAAAATCAATGGAAAAATATTTTCAAGTGAGGATTAAAGAAAAATGAAGATGCTTTAAAGTTTCAAAATTATTTTGAAGACCTCCTAAAAAAAATCTGTCACAGGTTGTGAAAAATAGCTTTAATTAATTACATTGTACACACAAATCCCAACCAGAAGTTGATTAACATACTTTCAAATGAGTCCAATATAAAGGCTTCTAATCATGCGCTAAAAACAATCACTTGACAAATATATGCCAGAAGTCCAGGCATGCTTATTATAATAATGCCCTAAATACCGATATATTAAAATTTCATTATAGAACTTTTAACATTAGAAAATAATAAAGATATAAGACGGACTGGGTAGTTAACTAAATTGCTTTTTGTAAAAGAGAGAACATGTATCACTACTTACTTTATTAGCCTGAATCAAATGAAAATCCTTTCCATAGGCCTTCAGTCCTTGTTCAAAATTTCTACACTCTTCTTCTGTCCAAACAGATAATTCCTCTGACAAAATGGGGGGAAAAACTGTTAAGCAATATTCCCCCAAATGTTGTATTTAGCAAAACTGCAAATAAAAATGAAACTTTCTGGTCACAATGAAGGAAATATTTTACCCCTAAGCTTTATCACTGATGGCTGCAAAGGATAAAGTGACAAGAACTCCTTATTAATAAAATTTTGGATGATAACCTCTCTCCAGCCTCAACCTGGGCCACTTTCTCCTTTATTCTTTATGATCCAACTATACTGGCCACCTTTCAACTGTTTAAATTTGTTAGGTTCTTTCTTTAGACTCTGTGCGCGCTATTCCTTTTGCCTAGAATTATTTCCTGCCTCCAACATCACAAAAAAGATACCATTTTCTTCTAGAAGCTTTCCCTAATAGCCTTACTGTTTCCCACAAGTAGGTTAAGTCCCACTGTAATAAGTTCGAAATGCACCCTCTAGTTCCTTAAGAACTTGTAACTATTTTTCAGCTTCCCTACTCAGTCTCTAAGCACCATGAGGGCAGGGACTTTGTTTATTGTTATGTCCTTAGAACTTAGCAGATCTTCCAATTTTTGTTGAATGAACCTTTCATTTGTTATATGTAAACAATATTCTTAATGAAGCAGGGTGGTAGCTAGTTGAGAGTTAAAAAAACCTCAAACCCAGAATTTAGTTATGACTATTTATGAATGTTTGCCTCGGCTAGGTTACTTCAGCTCAGAGACCTCAGTCTTATCAATTTTAAAGTGAAGGTAACATCCTGTCATATTTCTTACTTAGCTCATAGTGCCATCACCAAGATCAAATAAGAAAATGTACTTTTACTTAAATAGACTTCTTGTCTCTTAAGAAGGGACAGCCTTAATCCTGTTTCCCATAATGCCCGTACAAGGGTGGGCAAAAGTAGGTTTATAGTTTTAAGTATATGAAACAGAAAGTTTATTCTATTGTAATATAATCATAACCTGCATGTCTTTTTCCATATGAACTGTAAATCTACTTTTGCCCACCCCTGTAAAATACTTGTTATACACAAGTTACTTAACAAGTTACTTGTTATTAAACAAATATTTACTGGAATTCAGAAAGATCAGTATTATTAAATGTAGTATATAGTACATGGACTGAAGAGCTTAAGTTTTAAATTTTTGCTACATCATGAAAACAAATAAAATTTAATATTATGCTTACCTCTAGCTGCTTTTACATTAAATCTTAATCTTCTCAATGCTTCTTCTGTGTCAAAACTGCATTTAACCAATTCATATAATGCCTACAAAAATAAAGGGCTTCAATGTGACCCAGACTATGAACAGTTGAAAGCTATAATTCTTTAAGACAGTAAAGGCTTTTCCAGAATCCAGTGTTTTCATCCTTTCTGGAGGACAAATAATTCTAGTGAATGCAACATATGGGACACTACAGAGAAAAAAACATAAACTCAATCCTGATAATTAACTGTGTCTAAATATTTAGAAAATAGGATAAACAACTACTCTAACTTGGTTGGCACAGTATCACAGGAATTTAGAAATAAAAAATTATTTTATAAAGATCACAAATTTCTTCTTTTTAGCCTTTTGGGGTTTCTATTCTAAAATAATTTAGAACAAATCAGAAAAGAAAAACACTGACTAAAAAAGGTAAAAGAAATAATGCTGTCATTAGGTTCGAGGTAGGCACTGGTCTATCGTGTGCATGAGAACATTATAATCAGATGTGTACAATATTCCCAACTTAATGAGATCCAGATTCTCAGGGACATCCAAAGAACTTTTCTCAAAAAAGCCTAATAAATATACACAGGCAAACTGAAATATCAAGATTTGTTTGTTTGAGCTGAAATCATAACCCATGAAGTGAGTGTGTTAACAGTAGCTATCTTACATGCTGACTGTAACTTCATATTCTGTTGATAACATTATAGGAATTTTGGTGAGTGACAACACTGAATGTGACAGCATTTACATTTTAAAATGTATATGATTAATTTATATTGGGGAAATTACAACATTTCTTATTCATGTACCTGTTCATTGTCTTTTATGTGCGATCCTTCAGGAATTGCTTCTACACCTTTCTCATCACCTGTTCTTCTAGATGCATCCTTAAGAAATACAATCACTTTATCTTCCGGTAGGTACTCAGGGTCCCACAGAAGCTGATCATCGTTTTCATATACTAAATTAGTAAAACATAATTATTTTTCAAAATGCCCAAAATTGAGTTTGTGTTAAAACATATCATTGAACAAATAACTCATACTTAGAACCAAAATGACAAAAACTGAAAGGTAAACTGTGGTCCTACTACTTACTACTTGCCTGACTTCAATCTTGGGCAATCTTCACAGCCTCCGTCAATAAGCAATCTAACCAGAGAAGACCACTTTATGCCCTTTCACGTTCTGTCTTAAGATTATTTACCAGCTCTCTTGGTTTGAACAGCACCACCACTTACTACCTGTATGACCTTAGGCAATTATTTCCCTTCTCTCTGCCTCACCTGTGAAATAGGTTTAGCAACCCTATCACATAGGGTTATAAGGACTTAAAATAATTTAAAACAATTCTGGCACATTTTAAGATTCAATATTATGTTTAATATTTTTTAAAAGGGTTGTCTAAAAAATTGCTCACTCAAACATTAGCACTGCTTTATTTCTTGGTGGTAGGATTTGGGGCAATTTTTTCTTTTTTATATTTTTCTATGATGCTTGAAAATGTATTATAATGAATATAAGTAATTTTCATAAAAACAAGTCACTATTTTTTTAAAAGCATTTGATTCATCATTAGAATTTCCATTATAATAAGATTAAAGCCTAAAATCTTAACAAAATTTAAAAAGTGAAAGGAGAGGAGGAGAGCCTAAGAGAGCCCTGTGAAATTCTAAATGACAGTAAGAAAAAAAACATTAGACAAGATAAAATATCAAAACTGTTGGCACCACAGCAGCTAGGGGAAGAAAATGTTTCAAGGAGTGGTAAGACTGGTTAAATGCTGTTAAGTGGCCAGGTTGAACACTGAAAAAGGGTACGCTGGATTTACTAACAAGGAGGGAGATGTTTTAAGAAGATTCTGTGTGGAGATAGAAACTGAAGCCATACTGGGGAAGACTGGAGAGTAAATGAAAGGTTAAGAAAAAAGTAGCAAACTCTTGGAAAGTTGAGTTGTGAGGAAGACTAGGGCAGTAGCTAAAGAGGAAGTAGAGTGGAAGAAAGTTTTTGGTTTTGTTTGTTGATTTTTAGAGATAGATGAGACATTATCATTTAAATACCAATAGGAAAAAGCCAGCTGGACAAAGGACAAAGGATAACTGACAGTGTTCAAGTTCCTTTTGCAATAAAAAAGAAATTAACAGTTAATTAAACATTTCCTATGTACCAGGCAATATGTTAAGTGTTTTCATGTATACTGCCTGCCCTACCCACCACACACATATAGTTCAAATAATCTACCCTTCTGTTTCCCAAGATTTATATTCTTTAAAATACAGCTCAACAGATAATCTCTAGAAACTTTTCCTTTGTAAATCTCATTCCTTTTTAAATCTGCTGGTATAATTCCAGTGAAACTCTAAACTGTAAATACAATAAAACTCCCATGATAGAGTGAATCTGAATATATTGCTATTGATTTCTATTCCCTGCTCAGTCTCTGTTCACTGAAGGGAGCAGGCTGCAGTTCTGTTCTTGGAGTGATGGTTAGGGGGTGGACAAGGCCTTATTACAAGGAAACCCTGACTCAGGAGGAGGAAGATAAGGGTGGGTGTCCCTGAGTCCCCAGTATTCTCCCAGATAGATACCCCCATATAAAGTCTATGAAACCAACACAAACTACCTGGGAGGTAAGTCTGGAATCACTCTGGAAGTCCCAGGTAGCCAAGGATATATAGATCACCTTATTTAAATTGAGTACACAAGCATCACCAGATGGAGCCAAATGACAAGCCAGACCCCTAGAGCTGTGACTAGATAACGTAGCCCTGAGAATATAACACTTGGTTTTATGCGATTACAATATACTAAAAAAATGACCATGCTGTGAGAACAATTAGCATTTTCACAGAGAATAAACCATGTTGCCTTTCCAGAAATAGACCAAATTATTTTCCAGTGAAGTTGACACTCTAAATAAAATGACTTTCAACTATGATCTAAATAAACCAGGAAACACAACTGCTAAAGGACTAAATGCCAAGAGATGAGAAATCCAGAAGAACTCCACACTAAGATACTGAGGAGAAATAACACTTATAAATACGTGACAGGAAAACCCTCTTTACTAGTAACACAAAGAAAAACATACTTTGTTATAATTAAAGTGACAGGAACATGCTAGATTTTAAAAGATCACAATCACTGAAATGTAACAACATCTGAAACTATTTCATTCCAAATGAATTCCCAAGCCTAAATACTGAAAATTTAAAAAGCAATCACAAATATATTTACCTTATATTACCTGAACACATAATTTACATGATTGTAAATATGTGAAAGAGTTCAGAAGGCAATAGCTCATTTATTATATTATCAAAGGTTAGCTGGGAAAGGGCTTTTTATGGCATTTTAAATCATAAGCTTTTCTCAGATAAGCCAAATGAGTTACGAAAGAACTTAACAAAGTTTATTGTATCTGTGTAACTAATGTAGAAAGCTGAGAAACCACAACCAAACCATAAGCAACCTGGGAGATTAATTCCCAATGAATAAATGTGCATTTATTAACCTCCAGTGTTTTTTTTGGTGTTATTCCATTTTTAATGCCTAAGTAAAAATTCTAATTACTATATTATGAGGATGAAAATGGTGATCCATAATCAGCATTATGTTGTAATAATGAGGCTTACAATAGCAATTTCCGATCTTAAAAGGTCATACTATGATTAATGATATAAATTTTAAGTCGTTTGAGTTTTTCCAGTTACACAACTTCACTTTCATGAAAGGCCTAGATTAGTAGCTGTTTTTGCTAATCAAAAGATATCTGAAAACAATTTCGCTTGATTGAAAAAAGGCAAAAAGTGACAATGGCGTCCAGCATTTGTTCTGCTGTGAGCCTTTACAGAGCCAGCGTGCCTGAGTGGCGCCCCCAGGCTTCTGCCCTGGATACTACATTCATCATTTCAGCATCAAGCTGCCACAGTATTGATCTATCTTTATTTATTTTGTGCATCCCTTGGCAAGATGTATCCTACGGTAACAGAGAAGCCTCATATCATTGTTGTTTTTACTATATGATAATGTTCTTTTAGGTTTTATGTGTTATTTGGTATGATTTGGTAGGTTATTTTTTGCACCTGGGAATGCTCAAAAAATTTTAAGCGTACCATAAATTAATGGTACAGTAGCTACCCCTTATAAGCGTTTTTGTTCTCTGTGGTTTCAGTCACCCACAGTCAACTGTGGTCTGAAGAGCTCTGCGTAATTTACCTCCCTTCATCCCATCACACAGGCACTGTATCCTCTCACATTATCACACGGGTGAGTACAGTATGGTACGATATTTTCAGACCCTAGTCACAAAACTTTTATTAGTATATTGCTGTAATTGTTCTACTTTATTAGTATTGCTGCTAATCTCCTACTGTGCCTAATTTATAAATTAAACTTTATCATAAGTACATATATGTATTAAGTAAAAGTATATATAGGATTTGGTACAACTGCTTTTGCTGCGGGGGTAGTGCTGGAATGTAGTGCCCTCGAGTAAGGGGAGAAGGCTAATGTAACTGCTTCTCGGCTTTGTGCCATTTTGGCTTACAAAAGGTTTCATAGGAACGCTCTACTTTGGGATAGTGAGAGAAACCTGCAAAGTTAAATAAAATGCCTGTTTCGACAGTATTATTAACTAAGAGAAATGCACATGTTCAGTTTTCAGTAACTTAAGAATCGATGTCAAGTGCTCATTAGAAACAATTTACATGGTCCTTTGCTATTCACTGCTTTGTAATTCCTAATAATCATTTACTTACTCTAAAACTTATGACACGCAAGCATGAAAATTGGGCTGGGAATAGCCTGAATCTTGACTTTCTTTTTTCCTAAGTAGCCCATCTAAATGCTCAATTAAATTAGTCCAGGGTTTTCAACCTTGGCACTACTGACACTTTGGCCAGATAATTCTTAGTGGTGGGAGTAATGGGAGGTTTGATTATAGAATGTTTACCAGCACTCAAATTATTTAGTCTGACCACAAAGTTGCACTGTCTACTCAGTTTAGTCCATAAATAAAACATACATAACTTTGAAAAATCATGTTTTTCATCATCTTGGGGAATTAAACCCTTCCTATATGCTCTGAGTGGGGCTGACACCACCCCCGGGAGCCCCAAGAGCAGATAAAGGAGCCAGGGCAAACTAAATTACTCACTCATCTCTCTGGTCACCATAATTATTTCTGGCTGGTATATGACCCAAGCTGAGTCAACAGAGGCTCTCTTTAGACTCTTGCTGGAGTAAAGGGGGATGGGGAAGTTCTTATTTTTGCTGGTTCTCCAGCTACAAGGACAGTGTAAAGTATAAGCCAGGAGTTTCCAGTAGCCATCTCAGCATGTCTGACAATAAAAAAGAGAGAAGGAGGGAAGGGACACCTGATAGAGGAACCTCTGAATCTAGTTATATTTAAAGAAAGAACTTTCCAGTAAAGCAATCAGGTAAATTCTTTTTAGTTGAAGCTAAACTGAACTGGGTTTTAATCACTTGCAAGCAAAAGAGCACAAACTGATGCTTTCTAAAAAATCTAAATAAAACCTAAATATAACGGATAAAATTAATCATCTATTGAATATTAATGCCATTTATCGAGCTCTTACTATTTGCCAGACACTATGCTGCTAAGTGCTACACATAAAAATGTCCTATATAAATCCTCACAACAGGCTCTGTAAATAAATGCTCTAATGTTGCTATTTTATAGATGAGGGGAAAAAAATTAAGAAATATGTACAAAGTCAAATACCTAGATACTGACCCAAGTTTACTGACTCTGTATCAGTAGTGTTAACAGCATTCTGCACCCACCTAATAACCAGCCACCAAATGTTTACTAAGTGCTTATGTGACAAGGATCACTCTAGGTATTAAGGATACAAAGATGAATAAATGATTATAACATACTGTGTTGAGAATAAATGATAATTTACAAAAATTTAAGACAATGTTAACGTGTAGTTTAAGTTTTGTGACTAGAATAGGTATAGGTTCAAAGGAACATGCTTTGAATTGACTGTAACAAATAAATCTTATTTATATAATTGTTTGAATTAGGAGTGATAACTGATGAGGAATGTATAATCTGCATAGAGCCTAGTAAAAAAGAAATCAGATGTCACAGAGAAAAAATTTGTCACTGTCTGTCCAAATACTCAGTAACAGGGTTTCCTTGTATCAATGAAAAAATCCTAATCCACCTGTCAATTCCCACAGTGAAGATATCAGGATATCTTAGTTTTATGGAACTTTTATCAAAATCGCTCAAACCAAATGTTTTCCCTTTTGAATGTGTGCTCACCAAACCAACGAAAAATATCCTATACTTGTTTTTCTAAGAAAAGATCGCACTAACAAAGCACAGTCCCTTTCATAGCTTTATTTCTAACAATGTGGTTTACCTAAGTTTTGCATCTGTTTGGTTTGTATGCATGGGGTACCTTAAGTGAAAACAAATTCTGGGTATCACAACAAAAGTTTCAATTCCTGTAGCTACAAAGCAGAGGACAGGCCCTACACCACAGTGACCCCCTCCAAGGCAGTATCACCTTGCTAAATCTGCTCCGATCCTCACACAATATAATAGGCTTTAATTCTCAAAGTGAGAAAGCTTCATGAATTACTGCTTTGTCTGAAAAAAAAAAAAAGGCAAAAAAAAATTCCTTTCTAAAATTGTTAAAACTAAAAATACTAAACCAAAATTGAAAAATTGAAAATTAGAGATTATGATCACTTATTTACTGTGATATATAACAAAAAAATTTTAAAATAAAAAAGACAGAACACACTGAGATAATTAAACTATCTTTAGCCATAACATTAACTTGCCACATATAAAACTGAGTTTTCCTTCCCATTGACAAAATACAAAATTTCAAAGACAAGCACTATCTTTCATAGTCAATTTTAAATTAATTTGTAATAGAGCTTAATAAAGAAATTTAATAACATGGAACAAATGTCTAACTTTCAGTTCTTTAGTTGGAGAGAAAAAACTCAATGAACATATACTAACCATTATATAACACAGGTAAAGCATAACGTTGAAAATTCAATTTCAAAAATTCAATATAAAAGCTAATGAATCATTTATTTTTACATACGATTACAATGTATTAACAAAACATATGCACAACTTTTCTATGTAACTAGGTCACTCCATATTGATATTTTTAATGTTCCTATGTGTTGTAGGAATTAACTTGAAAGTGAGTGGAAAGCAGTTACTGGTGTGTTAAAACATTTTTACTGTCACTAGAATTTACCAGTCTGTGGTGTTCCCTTAATTACCTCTGATCTGCTGCTTGCCCTGAAAGCAGGTGAACACTGAGAATATAAAGTAAATTTCTGGAGGGGATGCTAAAAAGAAAACAAACAACGAAAGACATCTACAACTCCAAAAGGATCTGCATATGTAAGCTGAAATGTGGAGAAAACTGAAATAAAAGAAATGAAGAAAGATTTCTAGCACTGAGTGATGTCACATTGCACATGAACTCATTGAAAACACACATACACCCACAACATTCTTTCTAGAACTCACCTAAAGTGAGTAACCTGAAAGACTTCAAGTATATGTTGTTTCCCAAATTATTTTAAATACACAAATATCAAAGTAATACATTTTAATAAGTAATGTTAAGTTTCAGAAGTAAATTTGCTTTCTACAGCAATTAAGTTTTTTTTAGACCTGTCCAACAGTTTCCACTGACATAACTTTTAAAATCTAAATTATACAGGCTATGAAAGGGTATATTCAGAGTATTTAAAATATGAAGAAAAAAGAAATAAAAAGTTGGGATGTTTTAAGTCACTTAATACCAAAATAAGAATTCACTTTTTTCACTAGACTTGTGTGAACAAAAGTAAAAAAACAGTAAACATATTTCTTCTTACAGAAATAATGCAGGCCCTCTTTCAAAATTCAATGGGGTAACATAAACTGTCATGTTCTTATCCCATTATAAAACAACCGTTCATCACTTCAAAAACATAAATTCAGCTATTAACTTTACTAATAACCCACCTTTTTCATTTTCTTTGTATCTACAAATGCCAACTGGAATCTCTGCTTGAAACATGGAGCCCACCATAATCTCCTATTTTAAAAATAACACAAAGCATTAGTAAGGGCCCTGACCAGGTAGGTCAATTGGTTTGGAGCATCGTCCTGATGCACCAGAGTTTCGGGTTCGATCCTGGTCAGGGCACATACAAGAATCAACCAATGAATGCATCAATAAGTGGAATAACAAATCAATATTCTCTCAAATCAATCAATAAAAAAAATTTAAAAATACATTAGGAAGACCTAGTAACAGATATCCATTTTCTAGCATTACCATCTTCTTGGGCAAACTGTTCCTGGTTCCTGTGTCATATAATAAAGATGCAACAATTAACTACCTCAGAGAAGTATTGTGAGGATGAATGAGTTAATAATAGATAGGAGCTTGGATATGATTGGATGAAAATATTAGTAATAATAATGGGGTGAAATGCAATACAGACAATGGATACAAACTTTACTTCAAAATATAGATAAAAAAGTGAATTCTTACTATTCAATTAGTAAGATCATTCCAACACTAAAAAACAGGAAGTCAAATTCAGATATTTTCATAGTATCTACACTCTAAACTATGGTCCCTGGGAAACTGATAGACATGCAAATACTCAGGTTCTATACCAGACCTACTGAACCAGAAACTCAGGGGATAGGACTTAGCAATTAGTGTTTTAACAAGATATCCAGGTGATTCTGACACACATTTAAGTCTGAGAACCAGAGCTTTTTAAGATAAAGCAATAAAAAGGGTTTGCATAAAGCTCAGCAGAGACCAAATATATGAAACTCCAAACCAAATGGATAAGCAGGTAAGTGCCTTTCATTAAAGCAATATAAAATAAAAACCTCCCAAAACATAATTAAATCTTACTTTAGGGAATCTAGTAATCATATTTATATAGTCAAATCACAAATTAGGGGAAACTGGCTGTTCAAAGACACTGGAAATCACCACAGATGAGATTTTACAACACACAGGATCCAAGATTACAGACTCTCTTTTGTCTGGTGGCTAAATGTTAAGAATAAATTTACTGCATTTTAAAAATGAAGACTAAAGGAGGAAAGATACAAAAATCTTGGTCTAGTAAGTTTAAATAACTATTAGGATTTAAAAAGTTCCTCCCTCTCTACAGCTACTGTCACCTCACTGATGTTAGAAATTGTTATTCTCATATTTTATGTGAGGAGATGAAACTCAAAAATATTTATTTCCTCAAGAACACGCTATTAGTAAGTTCTAGGGCTATAACTTGAACACAGATTTGATTTCAAAGCTGTTTCTTCTACCTGTTTCTATAAAAATTCAATTTTATCTTACAAGCCTTAGATCTCTGAATCTAGACAATTTTTTATTGCAACAAAATCATACTAAAATAAAACAATCTGGATTTACCATAGCCTGCTTTCTTATATACTATTCCTGAGGAAGCACTTAATACTCCTCAGCAAAGACTTCACGTCCCCCCTGTTCTCCCTCCTGAGCTTTTTGTCCCTTCATTAAAATAAAATAACATCTAATTAAATACTATACTGAACACTCCAGATACAAAAATGGTTAATTTATGTTGGAGAAAAGCTATATAAACTTGAATGTGTGGTGGAAAATAACAGTTTAAGATGACTCAAGGTTTCTAGATTTTATCATTTTAATTTCTACATGATATAAAAACCAGAAAAAAACTGGATCAAAAACCATTTCCCCAAATAGGTCACACAAATAGTTACTTCTATGAACCTTGTTCTGTCTTCAGACCCATCACTCATTCACCACTCACTCGAATTAATTAACAGATACTGTACTGGGCTAACTTTCCCTTACCATTCTATCTCAAACAGATGTCCCTCTCTTCTAAACACCTTTTTGGAAACCTGTAATAGATCAATTCTGGCTGTAGCCCAAAATCCTGGGTAGCCCAGTCCAAATTCATTTGAATACTTTATTCTTCTTAATTAAAAACTCTAAATATAATGTTCCCTTATTTTAATCAGCAAGGGGGTCAGCTCATTTTTAAGTTTGCCCCAAGCATCCCAGACCAGACAACTTTAAACAAAACAAGAAACCATAGGGAAAGCTCTAAAGTATTAACTAAATAATCAAACAATCATGACTTATCTGCAGAAATTCCACTTAATTTGATGTTCTGGGCTAGTCTGTGTTCAAAGAAATGATTGTTTATGCACAAAATTTAAAAATCAAATGTAGGAAAAACAACAAGAAAACACTCAACAGAGTTTTTAAGGGAAAAACCAGGTGATCTAAGAAGTATAGTATCATTTCTTCTATATAAGTGATTTGCTCTAAACAACTTTACATGACATTTTGATACATATTCATAAGTCAACAGTTCTGCAACAGCTTAAAATTAATTCAATTTAATTGTATGATTAAACAATGTTATACAATTCTGTAATTTTTCAAAATTTTATTTTTGTTTAAAATCTTACAGATGTCCCTTTTCAATTCTGTAATTTAAAACTTACATATTATCTTTAGATTCATTTTAGAAATCGACTTATTTAATTATGCAGTTTTAGAGAAGCTCAAATCCATCTCTTTACACATTATATTTGGAGCTGTAAATATCAACAATATAAGATAGAAAATTTTATAATCTAAATTTTTAAACAGAATTTACTTAACAAATACCAGAAGGCCTCCACAATTGTTTTTCCAATTATATACATTAAAAAAAAAAAAAATCACGTGATACTTTCTATAGTGCAACAAAGTCTAATTCAGCACTAGTTCAGAAATTTGAATTTCTAATCTTGGTTTGAGTGTCAGTTTGTTCAACAAAGGACAATTCTTTTTATACCATTATTTTATTTCATAAAAAGATAAACACCTGAATGTACTAGGGGAAATCTGAACATCTACCCAACATTTACATGTCACAAAAGGGCTTACCTCAACATTATCAACATATATGTAGCTAGTAAAAAAGTAATTTCGCTTGGCTTTTTAAATATTAATTTATCTAAGTTTTTGGAAAATATGGCTCTAACTACCTTTTTCCAGTCTTCTGATGGAATATAATCTTCATCTTCTTCAGATTCTTCTTCTATTTCGCTATCTAGAATAAGTAAGACAATACTACTATAAAATGATTGCTTATCCTGTCCACATTGTATATTTGTATTTTATTCTTACATTTATCATCAAAATATTTAAATAAGCCCAAAGGTATTTCCAGAGTTAGGCCAAGATATTTCTAATCAAATAATATCCTATCGGTTAAAAAAAAAAGCCCATAAACGTTCTAGGTCAATCCTTATCTTAGACAACTGTATTCTCATGAAATGATATTCTACAACAACTTCAGGAACAGAATTTATAATCAAAATAGTATGTTTCTAAACCTAATTCTTCTATCAACAGCCTGGTGACAGAATAAGCTCTATGATCTCAATTTCTTCCCTATAAAATGAGAATTTGGACAAAACAGTCATTTCCAAACAGTGCTTGAAACACTGAGAACTTTTAGCATCATTTTGGGGGGGAAACACGTGAAGGGAGGAGCCCTCCATTCTCCCCAACCTCTGTTTTATTCAGAGCAGGAAATCAGCTGCTGTGTGTTTACATTTTGGAGTAAGAATGTATTTATAGAAAGGGGTGGGAAATCTGAAAACTATTAGATTCTCAGCATCTTAACTAAAAAATGGCATACAAATTTCAACAGAGTAACATTACATATAGAAATTAATCTTCCGCCTGGCCGGGCATGGCTCAGCAGTTGAGCATCAACCTAGGATCCAGGAGATCGGGGTTCGATTCCCGGTCAGGGCACATGCCTGGGTTGTGGGCTAGGCAGCCGATCAATGACTCTCTCATCACTGATGTTTCTATCTCTCTCTCTCTCTCCCCCTTCCTTTCCTCTCTCTGAAATCAATAAAGATATGTTAAAAAAAAAAAAAAAGATATTAATCTTCTTATGGAGAAACTAAACTAGGCAGTATATGTACAGCTTCCATGCACACATCACAACTGAAATACCAGATTAAATACTATTTCAAGAGGCAGTTACTTAGCACCCCACTTTGTCAATGGATCTGCTCTCTAAGTGATTAATACTACATTTCCCCAAACTTAAAATTAACACAATTATTGCCCTGGCTGGTGTGGCTAAGTGGTTAGAGCGCTGTCTTGCAAACAGAAGGGTCTCAAGGTTCGATTCCCCATCAAGGGCATGTACCTGGGTTCCAGGTTCAATCCCCACCCCTGGTTGGGGTGTGGGCAGGAGGCAACAGACTGACCTCTCTCTCTTCTTCCACTCTCTCTAAAAATCAAAGGAAAAAATATCCTCGGGTGAGGAACAACAACAAAATCAACACAATTATTTCAGTAACTAATCTCTTCTTGCACTGATGCACTTTTCAACTGGCCCATATCTTGAATCAAAACTCAGTAAAATTATTATTAGCAGTACTACATTCACTTCTAAACTAAATGTGTAACAGAAATACAAAGCAGTAGACATGGTTAATCAGTTAATACATTACTACATTTCATGAGAAGTTATTGTTCTTTAAGTGTTCTTTCTTTTAAAGTACAGAAATTTAGACCAAAAATTTAAACAAACAACAGTAATGGTTGATTCCTTATCAAAGAGCTGACTTCTAGAGTAAAGATTACTGTTTAGAATGAAACACTGTGGAGCAGATGGAGCATGCAAATAATCAAGATAGATACATTAAATGCTGATCTGACTACTGGTCATTTCTGACTAGATCATAATTGTAGAAAAATTAGGAGAATTCTTTCTATGTATAACATATTCTTATCTCAAGAGTCAACCACTTCTTTAGGCCTAGGAGGCACTGATTAGAGAAAGCAAGGCTTATGAATATATCTCAAAAAGGTAAGGGCAAAGAAAGTAGAAAATGAAAACTGAGGAAAAGACTAGGAGAAATAAAGATGACCATGAAACAAGCTAAATTTAAGAAAGGGTCAGGACAGAAAAAAAGGAAGACACTCAAAACAAGTAGTATAGTGACATAATTACTGTAGTATATTCATGAATAGGGCCCAGCATTACAAAACTAATAACCTAGAACAAAACCCCATTACTGCTGAGTGAGATTTCAGAGTAAGTTCAAACACAGCAGTAAAAACAATACTAGAATTTTAGGCCCTATATTAGGTAGTAAAAATTATACCCCAACTATAGCAACCAGTGACACTTACTTGTATCAAAATATTTACATCGACGTGGGCGGATTATTTCCTGCGCATCTTGAGAAGCAACAGATTGTGATGGATCATCATTGGAAGACTGAGTTTCATCCTCTTGACCTGATGAATCCTTTATATTCTCTTCCTGTGGAATCATAAATTAAATTCCTTTAAGATGTAACCCCTCCTCACCCCAAAAAACCTGCTGGGAGATAAAAGGTCACCATATTCCAAATACAACAGAAGACTAAAATACACTGACTGTAGCATAGTGTCCTGGGTCAAATCCTGGAACAGGAGAAAGGACATTAATGGAAAACTGATAAATCTGAATTGTCTATAGTTTAATTAAATAGTATGGTACCAGTGTTGATTTCTTAGTTTTGATCAATATACCATAGTTACGTAAGATGTCAACATAAAGGAAAGTTTTGGGTGAAGAGTACATAGGAAGTCTCTGTACAACATCAGAACCTCTTCTGTAAATCTAAAATTATTTCAAAACAAATAATAAAAATGAACAGAACTGCAAATTAGCCTTTATTACTTAAAAACATAGTGTTTTTTAGAAGTTGGTACAAATTTATTTAGAATATGCATTGAAAAGAAATCTGAATAACACAGATGAAATTATTACCCCTTAGGAATGGATAACAGGGGACTTCTAATTTTTATAGTGTATTTCTATATCTTAAATTTTAATATTTAAATGTATTACTTCTAAAATCAGAAAGAAGACAGATTATAAAAATAAGTAGTCAAAATGACTGTATTCAAAAATTAAAACTGACAATAAAGACTACAATCTTAAAAATTTGCGTATAAGCTTACTTTATTTTCTCCACTACAGCCACTATTATCATCATTATCAGCATCTTCATCATCTTCACCTTCTTCTTCCTCTTCCTCCTCTTCCTCATCTTCTTCAGGTAGTCGGCTAGTACTATCATAACCATAAAGGCTGAGAAGTTCATGAATTGGCATGTCGCCTTCCTAAATAGACCAAAATAAAAAGTTAATTTCTGAACAAGTAATATTTCATATTCACAAATTTGTATTCATTCCATACAGAAGAATGTTCTTAAATCTGTATCAGTAATTCTCAAATCACAAAAAGTGAAACTGAAAATAATTCTGAAAGCTAAGAAAATTCTAGTCTTTTAAGAATTTTTTAAGAGACTGACCAATTAAAATTGTTCACAACAAAATATTTAAGTATAACAAACAGGGACATTGATTTACAACTATTTTTGTGTGCAATCAATTCAGTTAATGTACACCATCAGTTAATACCATGTATGGATGCTCACACTTAGGAGCCATATATGGAAGTGGGAAAATAGAATAATTAGAAAATAAACAGACTGTAAACTAATATATCCAGAAAGGGAGATGAAGTTCACAGCCCACCCAGCCAAATACATTAAAAGAAAACAGCAATGATATAGTACAGGAATGATACTGAACTGCATTAGCCATATATTCTTTTCTAGGGTAGTCTATAATTACTTATAAAACCATCTCATGCAATCCCTACTATTTACCTTATAAAATTGTTATATTATCTCCATTTTATAGATAAGAAAACTGAGGCTGACAGATTAAGCCATTTCTCCAAAAAAGTCATATAAGTTACAACTAGCGTAGCCAGATTTCAAGTCTAATTCCAGAAGTCCATACCCTTATCAGTATACCATGCTGCCTCAGCCAGGGATCTCCCCCAAATCCCACAAAAACATACCCTGAGGGTGAGAAATGAAGAAATATCCATGTGATAATAAAATGAAATCGGCTTCCTGCAGAAGGTACTCACTCTAATCAGTAATCAATATGATTACTGATATGAACTGTCAGGGAAACATGACAAAATTTTGATTCTAAAAATACTTAACCCAATCACCTGAACGTGTTACACACAAGCACACACGAAACCCTTAACAGAAAGAGTCAGTTTAGAAACTAGCAAAAGGGTAATCATGAAACAAAACATGTTGTGTATTTCTCCAGCAGTCTTGTAGTTTTATTCATGGGCAGAAATAAATCTCGCCCATGTTAAATATATTGTTGCGGTAGAGATGGGTACATCAAACTAGATGATATAACCCAATGACACTAATCACGTAGATCATATAATTAACTCCCATCACTCAGAATTCGTGTGCAAGAAGCAACTATTACAATTTTTAAAACCTTTCTTATAAAAATAGGAAGAGAATGTTGTTTTAACACTTCTACTTCACATTATAAATCAATGTTCTAATTAAAAGTCAGTTTGAGAATCTGTTTCTGAAAGAGAAATTGATTCTAAAATCCCTGGCTAATGACCTACTGTAGCCACAGCCTGAAAAGTGGCAACTATGTCAGGCAAGGTATAACAACCAAGCTGAATGACCAGCTGGTATACACTTAACTGATATCTTATATTGTGATTCTCAAAGTGTAAATAGCACAGTGTTTGAGGTGTTGAAGGATCTAGTCCATGCAGATATCTGGTCCATGTACCAAGGATCTGGTACAAGATACAGAAATTTGGGAATTAGGAGCCAAGATTTGAGAAGTAAAACAGAATTCCGAAACTAAGAAAAAAGTAGAATAAGAGAAGATAAGAGATTGGTTTTATACACAATAATAACAAAAAGCTGCCATAAAGTATCTTCTATGTGCCAGGCATTTCAAGGAGAGAAATAAAAGCACAGTGAGAATATTACACAATCTTATTAGATCTTTAAAAGTACCAGATAGGAATGCTTTTTATTTATTTATAAATATTCAGAAAACCAAGCAAAGAGAAACATCATGCACTGACAGAGACTTTATTACAATACCTAGACCTCCTAATCCCAGCTCATACTTTCCATAAACTCATTCTGCACCACAAATTAGAAGCAGGTTTAACAACTGAAGTCACTACTATGAACAAGTCACTGAAGTCACTGGTACGAGTAAGGGCAAAACAAGGAAAAACACTTTAGTATAAGTTTGCAACTGACATTTACATGGACCTTAAGAATTCATGAAGAGCTTGTTTCATTTGATTTCATCTTTAAAACTATCCTAATAACTTTTTAACAACTGAGTTAACTGATACTTTGAGAGATAACACAAAACAGGCAGGTTACCAAAGAAATGTCCTCAGGCTCTCTACCCTGTGGTCTGTCTTACCCAAAGGCAAAAGAATCACCTCGAGAGTCTATTAAAACAGACTGTTGAGTCTCACCCTATAGTTTCTGCTCTTATAAATATGAAGTGGGGCCTGAGTATACGCATTTTTAAAAATAAGTGCCAGGTGATACTGATGCTGCTGGCATCAGTATCTGATGAGATCAGATTAAGAACCACTTATCTCATAGTTCTACGATAAAATACCTACAAATCAGCATTTCCAGTGGGCGGTAATAAAGCTTGATCGTTACCTTTAATAAACCTTATCACTGATATCTGGCATCTAGCTCAGTTATGTGTCAAAAGAATTGGTATCATACTAACTGCATGGAAAGAAATTTTTATTTTTTTAATCACTATCAAGAATGTGGAATGTCTGACATCCATGGTTAGGTTGATATTTTCCCCTCTTGGATACATATTTGAGAAGTGTGACTCACTTTATAAAACTTTATTTCTCAAAGAAAATTTTACCAACACTTCCAATATTGACTAGGCAGACAAGTGAGAGTCAAAAGTGGCTGATCACAGTGCATTTGGAGAACTGCTTTAACTTGAAAAATAGTAATAGAACTTGCAAACAGAAAAACGTGAATCAAGTCAGAAAAAACTACACAAGTATAGAAACAATAATGAATAGGTTACCGTGATTAGAGTAGAGGATATCTGTAATAACTAAAAACAGAAAGTTAGGGCTGGCATTTTAAACTATTTTCTCTATTTTATTTAGTTTTGAAAAAATCTGTCACATTCTACTTTTGATTCAGTTTGAGAGTAGCTGTTGAGCAGTGATTGACACTATGGCAGGGCTTAGGGAAAATACAACCAAATGCTCAAGATGGACATAGGCAGGGAGAGATTTAGTTTGCCTGGGAGACTAAGCTAAGTTGGAATTCACTGCTTTAAGTCACATGCAGTATAATCAGAACATAACCTAAATGAGTGGTTGTGGTAAAGAAAAATCTTAAGAGGCCTTGCAGAAGAAATAAACAGGATTTATAACCATGGGTTAAGAGTGATCAAGAGGTCCTAGTGACAGTGAATCTCTGGTTTTGGCATTCCTTGGACCCAGATACACATTCATATGACTTCTAAAAAATAATAAAAACAATAAACTTCTAAAGAAGTTCTAATATACATCTAAAACGTTTATTCTCAAAGTTAGTTTTAGGTGGGTTCTATCATGTATAAGCAAAGGAATCCTTGCCTATTCCATCAAGAAAATGCTTGCTTAATATAAAAACAAAACAAAGTATATAGTGGTATTGTGCTTCTGTTTAGATATTAACTTTTTTCTTAACCTCTGTCACCCAATATCAATTTAGTAAGCAACAGTCAGCAGCAATAAGTTATTAAGCAACAGTCATGGCCCACTGTGGAATACAACATCTAGAGTTTGACAGTAATATGAAAAGTATCCTACTTGATCTAGAGTATAAAATGAAGATCTTATAGCAAACACTGGGCTAAAACTATAATAAAAACCAACATCAATTTTGCTGAGGAATCCTCACTTTCAAATTCAAATAACAGTGTTCCTACTATGTGCTAACTGAAATACTTAAAGATTTAGTAAGTATCATGTAAGAATCATTTTTTGTTGTCCACTCCCAATCTACTTTTATACTCTTTTTCCAGGAATATTCTTTTCTCCATTCCAAGCATGTATTATGATTGAAAGCCTCCCCTAGATCACACAGCACCTGACCCAACTGAAATTACTGCATTCCCTAACCACAGGTTTGGAATGGGCACGTGACCCAAGTGTGGCTACAGTTTGTTTCTAGGTTTTTATCAATAGCAATTAAAGAAACACAGACTATCTCAAGCAGTAAATCTGGGAGACCTGGGAACTGACAATGTATGAAGAAAGCTGGCCTGAAAAAGGACACCACCATATAGAAAAGCAGAAACAAAAAGCATGTTTTGGTGGCACTTGAGTCCTTGAGGTCCAGACTTTACCCTGTGAAACTATGAGTTTTAAGAGTGCATTTGAAAAACAGGATTAAATCTGCATATTGCTATTTCTAGCCAACAAAAGTCTATTTACTATAGAAATGATTCCAACATCCCTATTAAGATCACCACAGTAAATTCTAACCTGTATATCTAATTCTATTAAAACATTTAAATGTTGAACTTATATAATTACCTTTTACATTGGTAAGCTTCATGCAAGCAACCATAACAATACATATCAAAGCTTCCTCTATGAAAAGCTAGTTTTCACTTAAAATTTTAGAATTCAAATGAAATGAACTGAAAACCACAAGCTATGCAGTTACTGATTACTCGTGAATGAATCAACTGTCAGAATCCTGCCACAATTATATCAAAAGTCCATTTCATGCAACAAAAGTGCTAGGTAAAAACACTTTGCAATCCATGGAATAACTAACTATATGTTTAGCTTCTATAAAAGCAAGTAAAGATAAAATCTTGCTTACTTTTAAAATAAAAACAAAAACCAGTTTGGTCTTGTTCATACCTGAAGATTTTATAACTACAGTAAATCCAACACACTGGCCCTGAACTAGCTTAGTTATAGGTTACTGAGGAAGACACTGGTGATTGTGTGCTACATAAACCTAAGCCTTACTTAGTTAGTCTGGGAAAAGTTAGAAGTATCTGAAAAGGTTTAAGACTGTCTTATTGAAAATAATGATGAAAGACTGGTTCCCTTGTCTTTCTCTTCCTTTCTATGTCCTCTATAAATAATTCTATTTTAATTACTATTTCCTAAGGAACAGTCGTTTGAAAGCAAATTTTGAGCAGCTGTTATGGAATGGGGAAGGAGGTAAAATAAAGAAAAAATGAAAAGACAATCACATGCCCAAAATTTCAGCAAAGCCTATTAGTAACTTTATGCTAATTAAATGTAATAGCCCATTTTCTGAAACAGAAAACAACAATCATTCCATCTCATAATCTATTATAACCTGTACTTAATTATGTCCTCGAGTAGTTAATTACTTGCGTAATGTAGAATGTGAAAAGATAGAAAATACAAGATTTTCCTTCTTTTATCCCATGGATGTATTATTCAGAAACAGGAAACTGTATCTAAAATGATAGAAATCTGTGTGTGTATACAGGCAAATAACTGAAAATAACTGCCTTTACATTTCATGAATATATGAAATGACTGTGATTATTAAATCATTTGTTTCCTCTGACGTTCACCTAGGTTCTGAGTTATCCAAGCAAATTATCTGCGTTTTGAATGACTTTCCAGCCTCTTCTATAGTTCTGACTCCAGTTTCTTCATGCGCTTTTTAAACTATTCCTGAAGTTTTCATAACTACAGTCATGATATTTTGTAAATGATGCACCACATATATGATGGTGGTATACCACAGAGCCTGGGGATCGAGCCTGCAACCAGGGCATGTGCCCTGACCTGGAACTGAACCACCATCTCCTGGATCATATAGGTCAATACTCAACCACTGAGCCACGCCAGCCGGGTGATAAGAGATACTTCTGTAAACAGAAATAGACTTATTTAGAATAAAGGAAGATGACTCCTTGGTTTCTGACTTAGGTAACAACGTAAATAGTAGTACCATTTTTTACTGAAGTGAAAGACAGGGAAGGAACAGGTAGAGATGAAGAACATCAATTAATAGTTCTGTTTTGAACATTTAAAACTTAAAGATGTCTATTGAGATATCCAAGCAGAAATGTCAAACAGGTGGTTAGATAAACAAAACTGGAGCAGAGAATACAATAGTGCTAGAAAAAATGAACTAAGATACTGAGCTTACAGACACCATGAGAAAAGATTAGATCAGACCACCTAATAGTTTACCAATTTTCAAATGTGATGTGCATACTTAATGAAGATACAGATTTGAGCCCCACGCACCGACTCCCTAACTCCCATGAGATTCTGCCTCAGTATGCCTGGGGAGAGGCAAAGGAACCTGCATTTCTTAGTAAGTCCAAGAGTGATTCTGAAGCAGCTGACCCTCATATTACATTTTGAGAAGCACTGTTCTAGAGTCAGAAGAAAAAGTCCAGAACTAAGAATTGAGAAATTCCAAATTTAAACCCTGGGTAAAGGAAGATGAGTCTACAGAGGATAATGAATAAGAACAAGTGGACAGGAAAAACTGGACAGTGGGGTACTCCAGAATTCAAGTAAAGAAGGGAGTGGTAAGTTGGGTCAATCACCACTGGCAATAGAGAAAACCGACTGATGGATATGATAATAAAATCATTGGTCATCTTAACAGGAAGGGGCAGAGCCCGGCTGGGCATGGCTCAGCGGCTGAGTGTGGACCTAGGATCCAGGTGATCAGGGTTTGATTCCCGGTCAGGGCACATGCCTAGGTTGCAGGCTCGATCAATTACTCTCTCTCATCATTGATGTTTCTCTCTCTCCTTCCCCTCCTGTCATCTCTCTGAAATCAATAAAGATATATTTAAAAACAAAAAAACAAACAAAAAAAAAACAGGAAGGGGCAGAGACAAACTACAGCACTTTATGGAATAAATGAGAAATGAGGAAGGAGATGACAACTCTTAAATTTTGGCTATGAGGGGAGTAAAAATAAAAGGCGCAGTAACTGGGAGAGGACAGGAGGTGTGTAAGAAGGAATTTAGGATCCTTTTACAGCCCATTTTTGACCCAATAACTGTGATGTTTTACAAAGTAAGTACTTGACTTCTATTTTACATAATAAAGTTACTTCTTCAAAAAAAAGCTTTTCAGCCTAGCAAGGCATGGTTCAGCGGTTGAGCATCGACCTAGGATCCAGGCGATCGGGATTCGATTCCCGGTCAGGGCACATGCCTGGGTTGTGGGCTCGATCAATGACTCTCTCATCATTGATGTTTCTATCTCTCTCTCTCCCCCTCTCCTTTCCTCTCTCTGAAATCAATAACGATATATTTAAAAAAAAAAAAAAGCTTTTCATTTCAAACTTTAAACATCCCACCTATGACCACATAGAATTTTTCAGTATCAAGTGTATATAATATCCCTTTTCTCTCAAAACATAGGTAGAGAACCAAAATTTCAAGCATTTCCCCTCTCCACAAAAAAGTTATCAATGCTTCATCCTCTAGTTCTTACTGTTATTTACCCTTGCAAGATCCTCTATTTCAGAACTGAAGTTTGTTTCTCCTTCCATCATTTCTTCTTCTTCTAATGTTCGTTCATCATCAAAATCATGAACCAACATGTCAGCTGATGGATCAAATTCATGGTCATCTGATGTTGCTGAACCTCCTGGAAAAGAATAATTTTAAAAGTTTAGTAAATCAAATTAAGTTTATCCTATAAATATTAATATAATGTATGTTATCTGAAGCTGATATAAGTCAAAGAAAAGCTATGCACAGCAAATATTTGTTTTCTGAAATTCTTGTCCTTACTCATACCTCCCCCAACCCCCGCCAAATCTTCTGTAAGGAATTTAAGGAATTCTTTTTTGCCTTGTCTCATCTTTATACACAGTTAGAACTGGGGGGGTAGGAGGGTGTAAATTTTAAAAAGTATGTACAGCATTTGAAAAATATTGTAATCTTCTAAACACGAAACCTGAGTTGTAAAAAATAAATGGTCATATCAAAAAGTGATCTTTTGTGTGGGAAAGTTCACAATTCTTGATCATTTGATTGGTATTTGATAGACCCAACAAGTATGAACCCCTACGGCTCCTGAGAATACATAGGCATGTAAAATATGTAGCCATCTGAATATATAGTCTAATGAAAATAAAGCTGCACTCAAATATTATTCTTCTATTAGCACTTCCATGAAAATTTATTCCAATAAGTAGGTAACTGTCCTTAACTTACTTAGATGATTTTATATGAAATAACTCAAAGATAAAATATAAAAGCAAAATGTACTAACATTACATACAAAACTCTTATGAAAGGCATTAAAAATAACCTAGTAGGTTAAGCTAAATCTATTTTTAGCCTGGTGTCTGGAGAATATTGCTGTACTCAATAGGTCAAGCCTTGTAATAGTAGATGGCATACATATTCTGTAAACCATCCCCACATCTGGCTATTGTCAAACATGGACTTAAGTTTGCAAAAGCACTGTTTACTAATAAACAAATAAGTTATTTAACATTAAAAAAATCAATTTAAGTTTAAACTGTTAAAGGTTGTATTTATAGATGCACCTACCCTTCCATTTCACTCCAGTTAAAGAACCAATAAGTAAAACAAAGCGATACAGACGCTGGTTTGTTGAAATACAGACTATTGGGGATAAGGAAATGCAGAAGACTCTGGGTTCTTGTCACGTCCCACAATTTTTGGAGTAAGAACCATTTTTGGAGTGCTTACTATGTGCCAAATACTATGTTCAAGCACTTCACATACATTATTTCATTTAATCTTCAAACAATCCTATCAAAAACAAAAAGAAAAACTTAAGGCTCAGAGAGTTAAGAAGCTTGTTTAAACTCATAGAGCCTGTAGGTGGCAAGGATGGAATTTGAATCCTGGGCCTGCTAATTCCAAAGCCTGTGCTTTTAGTGCACTCCAAGCCTCCTGTAAGTCTCAGCCTCAGAAACAGTAGGTATCCTGCCTCAAAGAATACCTGAAGAGAGCCTATGCTTACTATAAGTGAATATCAAGCCAGGTCAGAAAGCAAAACACTTAGAAGCCATTGTACTCTCTGAAGAACATAATAAAATATTGACTTTAAACATAAAATAACTAAACACGAAACTGCTAAATCAGGTCTCATCCTACAGTACAGTACAGAAGAATTAACAAATTATCAAAGTTTTAGAATGATTTACAAAATAAAAACATTTAGAAAAGCATATTACCTTAATTTCTTTTGAAAATTAAGAAAAATATGGCATTTTAGTACTGGTTGAGGGACTTGCAGTTTGAGAATCACTAATTTAGTCATAGCTTTTTGGTCCCAATCATTATCCCTTCTGAGTTTTTAATGGAAAACACTCCGAAAACTTTCAGTTCACCTAGCAATCAATCTTCTAGGACACTCAGTCAATAATTATGTATTCCTATAGATGATACTATACTTTTCTTCTCCCCTATACACAGAAAGATACTAAAAAGCCTCACACAACCCCTGTGAATACTACTATCCTAATATAATTCCTATTAGATGCAAATATTGTCACAATAACTATGCTTAATTACTAACAACTTACCCTCCTTTACCAACTTAAGAAAAAAAAAGAAAATCGGGCTCTCATGAGTATACAGACCAAATCATGAGTATTATACGACTTCCCTGAAGTCCCTCATTTTTTGTCATTACACTTAAAGCCAATTACATTTAAGGCCCTGCCACTTCCCTCCCGACACAGAATAGTTTGGATAAACCTGTTCTCCCTTCTCACTCTAATTCCTTTCCCCACATATACACTGTATTGTTTCTTATAAACTTTCAATTTTTTCTTGCCTTCATGTGACTTCTTTGTTTGACTTCTTTTTACCTTGTTGTTTGGGACAAAATAACCATCCTATTCCTTTTACTAAGGCCCATTGTTAGGCTGTCTCATAGGAAAACAAGTCTCAAAAGTAAATTATTAGGGGTAGGGAGTCTGATGCTTTGTGTAAATAAATATTATATTTCAGAGTTACAGCCAATATCAGTCAGTGCTTTGTCATAAAATTACATTCTACTGCAAAATTACTAAAAGGTACCTTACATTATTTCAAACATTCAAAAGATAAATTCAGTTTATATCATGTGCACTCATTAAATTATTTTATTACCTCCCCTCCCTAAATCCCCGCCTCTAATGGCTACTAGTCTTACAGGTTAAACCTTGTATTATGCCTCCACATTAGTTTATTTGGTGGAGTCTATAGACAAACCACTTAACCTGAGTCATGTGACTATTATTACTAGAATGAATTCCAAAGTGCAGATGTTACACAGGACACAGCCTTTCACCAGTGAGCCAAACACTTTTTTAAATGAAGCCTCTATCCTAATTTTCTCCAACTTATGTAGTTAGTATTATTTATAAGAATAAATATTCCTTTGGGCAGAAGCACTATCTATCTTAAAAGATCTTCCCTAGTCTAAAACAATTAAAAAATCTAAACAAAAAACACCCAAAGATTCAATCTGTTTGTATAAGCATTCAGCAAGTAGTAAAGAGCACCAAAGACATTTACATTCTTTAAGCTGCTGTATACTTCCAGTTCAGCCTGGACTAATTCAAATGCAATGGAAACTCAGAAAGTCGTTCATTATTTTATGTCCCTATGTTTTATCTGATGAATGTCTCAAAACTTCACAGAATAATATCTAAAACTCAGTCTATCGACAATGTCACAACAGTAACAAAAACCAACTACAACCTATTTTTTCAATGAAAATGATTTCTGTTTGAAAGAAAAAGAAATTAGGAAAAATTGCATGTCCTATAAAAGATATGGTAATCTAGTATTATCTGAGGTCAGACTCAACCATCCAGAACATATTTATAAACCAGGAAGTTGAAATAAATATGATAAAATCAACTGTGAATTTAGCATACTAGTCATTTAGAAGGAATCTGGAGGTATGCTAGTTCAACCCTACTTGATGCCTTATACTATACAGAGTACAATGATATATGTTCATGAAAAGAACTGTTCTATTAAAAAAAAAAGCCAAATATCATGTTAAGCATTTTTACAAACTTTCTAAAATTTAAAACACAGAACAGTAACTGCTTCAATAATCTGGAAAATTCAATAATACATAACTAAATATTCAATAAATGTGAAATGTTTTCAAATAAAATATTACAATGCCTCAGAGAGCTCCCTTTCTCTCTCTCTCTCTCTTCTTAGCTATATTACCCTGCCACTTAATCCAAGTATTTCACTGCAGAAGGCAGTACTCCCTCTCAGTAAAGTCCCTGGACACTGAGTCAGAAAAACTGGTTGGTGCCAAATTCTTTGCTGACTGCTATTTAGCTCCTACCAATTGCTGCCACACAGAAATCCTGTACCAGTGGAGCTGGAACCTCTGATTGATCATGAGAAGCCTAAATCAAGATTTTTATATAAAATTTAAATTTTTTAAGATCACTACACTAGCCAAACAAAAACACATTTGTCGCCCAGATTTGGCCCAAAGATAACAACTTATAAGTTAGGAAAAAATTAATCTGTCTTGTATTTGAATACAAAAATCCAAAGATATATGGTCACAGGATAAAAATTGATCCTATTGAAATATAAAAATAACATCCTTAACCTACAACATTAAATATTCATTTGTTGAATATTTTCCTTATTTTATTTTTCCTTCCTTCACTAAATGTTTAATAATTTCTCTCTCAAATAAAATACTTTGACTTTCCTATACAAGCCATATTTCTAAGCAGTTAGTAATTCCTTTTTTAAAGGTACACTTCATATGTACTTCAAGTCAAATAGCAATTAAAAACTATTATGAAATACATGTGAAAATTCATCAAAAAAAAAAAAAAAGAGAGCCCACAAACAGTCATGAGGTTGAACTCAGAGCAGCCTCACCTGTATTTTCACGGGCAGTCAAATATTTCATCCATTTTTTTCCCAGAGAAAAGAAGCGTTCAAAAGAAAAGGAAGTCAGACGATAGTCTAACTCCTCTAGCCTTTATGCAACTAGTAGGACAAATATTAGTCAAATAGAGATTATAAAAAATATAGAAAATACTTACCTGGACTTGAAGACTCAACAGATGGCTGAGGGAGGAGAAAAGAAGAAAAATTAGCATTTTTGTGTAGTCATCTTTACAAACATTACAGGAATTATTCAATGGCTAATATGACATCAAAAACTACCCTAAGTTTTAATGTCTGAACTGTCTAAGACGAACAAAAACTTCCCGTATAATCCTTTCTGACATTGTATTTATATTTAAACATATAGGGAAATTGAAAAACACTCCTGAATCTAGAAGCAAAGACAGTAATATGAAATTGATTCAGATTTTAAAGGCAAATATGGGTCCCATAACATATGTAATTTAAGAGATGTGACTTAGGTCTTGAAACTTTCTGAAATATTCCCTCATATCAATACAGGAAAACTATGTACAAGGCTTGCTATAAAGCTGATCTCTAACTTAAAATGTGTGTGAGTCCTGGCCCGTGTGGCTCGGTTGGATGTCATCCATTGTACCAAAAGGCTGCCGACTGAGTCCCAGTCAGGGCCCATGCCCAGGTTGCTGGCTCGATTCCCGGTAGGGGGCATGCAGGAGGCAGCCTATGTTCCTTTCCCACCCTCTCTCTCTAAAAATCAATAAAAATATATTTTTTAAATATGTGTGAGAATGGAGGCGGAAACAATTTAAGACATTATTTTAACTAAAAATTATATTGCAAGCAAGCAGATGGAAAGATTAAAATATTACTTAAGCACCAAACAGCACATTAGGTTAACTTCACTAACAAACAACATACTTGTAAATTATGACAAAATTAGCAACCTTTCATGCTAAGTCTAGAGAGGTTAGGTTATCTGATAGAAGACCACAAAGACTCCAAATTATAATGCTCCTTCTACTGTAACATTCCACCTCTCAAATTTAATCACATACATGTTGGAAAACTTAGAAGATAAAATTGTTAGTAACTTATTTTAGTAATATCTCCACTTGAGAGTTTGTGGCTATATTTTATCTTAATTAAATTATAACAAAGTCATCTACATAAACTCCTATAAGATAAATTCAGTAAGAAACTCAAAAGATGCTTCAAATGATATAAACTTTATCATTAAAACCTTATCTATTCATTCAGAGCTATCTATTTTATGCCCAATAGAAGTAAGAGACACTAGAAGGCCAAAACACTATCGAAGAGATAGGGAATATTCTAGTATTTTCCTTCTTTCTCCCAAATAATGGTACAGAAAGGCAACAACAAAATAGAAATGAAGAATGTGCTCAATACTTCAAAAGCCCAACACATTTTTATGAGGTGTTAGAACTCCATTTTGAAAACTGTCCACATTATGCTACTGTAGTAAGTGCCCAAATCCCATGTGGTGACGCAGTTCTTTTAAGGCACACTTTTTCAAGGGCCCTATTTTCTTCTTTTAATTCTTACAAGAGAATGGTTCTTGCCTATAGCATTGTCTTATTCTAACAAAAAACTGACAGTATTTAGTAACACATATTTTCAAGTGTCATCATCCTTATTTAAGTTACTCTGCCACAACAATCAAACGAGTGTTACTTTTTAATTCAGTTCCTCTAATGGGAAGCTGAAGAGTAGGGTGAGTGAATAGAATAATGTAACCATAAAAAGGGTTTCTAGTTTGCTTAACATCTTTCAGGCAGAACTACCCATTTCTAGCTGAAAATGAATTTGACCACCATACAAATTTAATCAATATTTTCAAAAATTAATCTTTTATTTTGTGTAATTATACTTTATTTCCAAAGTTTAAGTACAACCTTGGTCCAAGGCTACAGCAATGTTCATGACTATCTTCACCTGGTCTCAGATTCACTATCCACAAAGTAGCCTTACAACTCTGTTTTTCGTTTTTACTAAACGTTTGAAACAGGCTTGCTTGGCATAAAGAAGAAAAACCAGCATCTTTCAAATGAGCAGCTTAAAAGAAATGTTCTTTGAACATTTAGTTGTTTTTGAACACTCCAATAATTATTCCATCTAACAGTCTGCTAAAAATGCTTTGTGATTAAAAATAAGTTATTCTACTGAAGAATAACTGGTACATTTTCATTGATGTTAGATATTGGTAATAACAGAGACATTGAATTGTGAATAGTGTCTGTATACTTTAGTTTGTAAAAGGCCTCAAACAGCACTAAATGCCAATACCATACTGATTGTTATTTTATTGGTAGTTACCGGTTTAAGGTTTTAAGGTTACAAAAAAGCCCACAAATATTTTCCATTCACTAAGATACCAAATATCTCGAGGACGGTAGCATTTGTAAGTACAGCTGACATAAAGTAGAACACCCAGTGTTAAAAGATAGCATTAATGATCATATTATGTCAGACATACTGGAATGTTTCAAAAACCATGACTTGACTGATGCTGTATCTAGATTAGGATGGGGAAGGGAAAGCAGGGATGGTTTAACCTACACATACACATTTTAGTATTCTATATTCAAAATAAAATTCCATTGTATTGATTTGGGAAGGATGGGAATTACATCAGTTTCTTGAAATTATATCCAGTTAAATAAGATCATTAACCAATATAACCCCAATAAATTTAATTTTAAAAAAAAGAAAAACTATGACTGATTCCTAAATAAATAAATTTGAAAAAGGGGAGCTTCTGGAAAACTGGCATTTGAAAACAGTTTATACTGTAAAGATTACTTCTGCCCAACCAACAAACAAAATTAGTATCTTTCAAAATATGAGTTTAGAATAATAATACAGGGCATTTCAGTATGGAATGAGGGCCTTTTTTATTTACGTATTTAAAACTAGTTTACATTTATATATAGGACTATATATGGTTATATGATCATAACCATAAACCTGGCAATAATACCTTCCCCGGCTACCTAATTTTGTATCTCAGCAAACCCAGAAAGATAGAGTGACTTATTTAGGATTCCATGGTAGATGAAAAAGGTGGAACTAAAACCTAGGGCCCAATTCCTTCTATACCTCCCAGGTAAACAAGTAAAAAAATTTCTCTTCATTTGCTTTCTCCTTTACCCTTACTTTACCCTTATTCTCTTTTTCTTTTTCAAATGGTTTTCATCTGTCCAAAGGTTTAAAATGTGACTGCAAGTCATCATTGGTTATGTCAGACTATTATCTATGTCTCCTTCGGAAATGGTATCTCTAATACCCTCCAGGAAAACTGCAACAATCTACCAGCAATGACTACAGTAAACTGGAGAAGAGAAAGAAGGGGAAAAAAATAAAACTAAAGCCATACAGGTACTCACTTGCAACAATATCAAATTTTAGAAAAAGCTCAAACGATTAAATGTAAGCAGTAAAGATTTTACATTGGGGATTAAAATTATTTTAAATGAACTCATATATTATTGGTAAAAATACGAGTTGGTTTAACTGCTCGGGAGATCATTTTGCCAAAATGAACTTACCCTACTGATATGCCTAATAAAGAACACGAAGATGTATAATGTTCATCATCACAAAGTTGTTCATAGCAAAAAGCTGGGGGAAATTTTTAAAGCCCACTATTTAATTAGTTAGAAATGGAAATATAGTTCTTCCAAGCAATGGAACACTATTAATCCATCAAAAAGGACACAGATGTTTGTATTGATTAATATAAAAATACATACATATGTATGTTTGTGTGTGTGTCTATGGGG